AAAGAGTGTAAAATGTAGGGGTCCTAGATGGCTGCCCTGTGGTACTCCAGAAGTAACCTTAACAGGTGAAAAGATGGAGTTTTTAAAAAGGACTCTTTGAAACCTAGAACGAAGGTAGCTAAAAATTCATCTAAAAAGATTAGGCAGAAACCCCAAAAGGTCAAGTTTTTGTACTAGAAGGGAATGGTTTACAGAATGGAATGCTTCACTGAAATCAGTGTAACTAACATCCGTCTGCAAGTCGCCTTGGAAGCCTTGAATGATAAAAGAGGCCAACTATAATAAATTTGTGGCTGTCGATTGTCGCCTTATTAATCCGTGCTAAGATGGAGATATAAGTGATTGCAGAGATATTGCAAATGCGAAGTTAAAATTTTTTTTAACATTTTACGAATAGCAGATAACTTCTATAATTATTTGCATCAGACTTGCTACTTTCTTATGGAGCTGAATAATAAAAGATTCCTTCCAGATGGGAGGAAGCATGAAGAGTTAATGTATAGGGTGAATAGTTTAAGCAGGGGTCCACACAGAGCGTCGGCACAGTACCTAAGCACACAGCCGGGAACTCTGTCGGGACCTGGTGAAAACACCGGCTTAACTAGTCCAAGATTATGAACCAGTGAGCTTTCATTTAACAAGGGGCTGAAGATGCCATTCGACCTTGGTAAACTGTATGGATACGGTTGACCAGAGTAGCTTTCATGAGAATAGGTTGTTTGGAAAAATTTGGCAAAAAGATCGGCAATTGCCTGATCATTGTTTGCTGACATATTGAGAAATATTAGCGAGGATGGATGTGCGAACGTTCTACGCTTACTATTTACGAAGCTGTAAAACTGTTTATGGTCTTGTGAAAATCGTATCCTGCATCGAGGTAGGTAGTTTAAATAGCATTGAGCGTTAAGAACGGAGAAATTTGACCGGGCTATTACATAGCGTGAAGGAGAAGAGGGAGAACCAACTTCTCAAAACTTCTCCTTAAGCCAAGGATAATTTCCAGATCTAACCGGACAATTCAAGGTCTTGTTGAACCTGGACCATGAAATGTTCCACCGTGAAGTTTGAGTCCACTGCAATGAGGACCCTACCTCCACGTCGAGACGAACGGTCATTTTTAAAAATTGTGTACCGACCTGCCAAAACTTCGGAACTAAGGATGTCCGGCTTTAACCAGGTCTCGGTAAACACAATAACATGGGACGAGAATGCGAGACTCTCAAGAAAAAGAGTGCAGAGCTAGGTAACTTAAAGAGAGGAAGTTAGTTTTTTGGATGGGTAGAAGTTGAGGTGGATGAGGGTAGAGGGTAAAAATGGAGCACTGGTCTGACTACTAGGAAGAGTTATGGAGGGCCTATTCTTTTTCTTAGCCTTAAACTCTTTAACTACCAAATACTCCGGCCAAAACTTGGCGGAACAAATGGTGTCAAATTGAGTCGGGGCGACGCCTGTCTTAAAGGAAGATATCTTCCTGGCACAAGAAAAGTTAAATTTTTCCACCTTTGAGCCGACGGATGTGAGGTCAGGGGCTAGCCGCGAGACAAAAACTTGTTGCTTTGGTGGGACTCCCACCAGTGTTTTTGGGACCACAGGCCTAGTACCTGTGATGCCAGTATCCGGTGGTCCTGGACATATATTAGCTGGTGGGAGTGAAACTGGTGGGTTAGTTAAGAATTTGGGTGCGGACTCGACGGACATGGACGCTACAGACATGTCTACCTACCTACTCTCGGAGATGACGCATTCGGCTCCCGAATCTGCATCACCAGCAGCGATCGTTACCCTTGGAGTAGCAAACGTAATCAACTGCTGCACTAAGGGAGTAGTCGGAGTAAGTTTTTCGGCTGCCGGCGGACATGAGTCAGTCGGCACTTGCAAGTCCCGCGGAGTAGACTTCTTGCGCCTCGGAGACTGAGCCAGCAGCTGTAAACTGCTGAACTGAGTGTCCATGGCCCAAATCCGATCATATTGCTGTTTAAAGCCTACGATCAGCTCTTTGAAGCCACTCCGCGTCTGCCTCATGAACAAACGCATGTCGTTTTTTACAGCACGGCATTCCTCACAACTATAAGATCGAGATCCCTACACATTTTGCGTGCACTACGCTTTCGCAAAGCCAGCAAGGGGTTTTGGGCTGGTCATGGGTGATCTGCTTCTTGCAGGATTTTTTTGGCGCAGACGACAGCAAATTCCAAAATAATGTCTTTTATTTTTTGTTTTGAGAAAAAAACAAGTTTAAAACAAATAGCAATCAGAGCAATGTGAGCAGATGTTTGGAGCAATGCTTAAAGGGAAATCGGTAAAAATAAGATGAGGGAGGAGAGTGGTTGCAGCAACAGCTTATAAGTGAGAGCGTTACTGCACACAAAGTTACGAGAGCGAGAGAGAAAGAACAGTTATTGAGAGTTAGGTGATAGAGAGAGAGAGAGTGATAGACGGCAAAAGCTACGACAAAGAGCGGATAAATGTAATGAGAGGGCGTACTTACGAAAAGCAACAATACAAATACACGACTTACCGACACACAAAATTAATTAAATTAGTTGTGTTTTTACACAATTATTAGGCATGATAGGCCCGCGATAAAAATTGATTTTAATGTTAATAAATAGGAGAGTTAATATAAAGATATAAGAAGATAAAAACACCGGCTGTTTAAGCAAAATAAAAGGAAAATGCCGACCGCAAAAGAAAAACACGTCTGGTCACTATGAAAGAGAACGAACCATCTACCATCCATTTCGGGGACGGTCCGTTTTGCCGTTCCGAAAATTCCCAGTTATTCCATCAACCATCTGGTATTTTGCTAATAGCCTTTTCACACTGGCGAGCATCCACCATCCATTTCTCGGATGGTCCGTAATGCCCTATGCACACTGAGCCCATCCCGGAGGAATGGTGGGAACATTTGAAAGATGTTAAACACCGATTCACATTGACTCCATCCACCATCCATGATAAAACAATAAGCTGATGCTCATAATTGCGGGCGGTGAAAAATTTTTTCACATCTATAATTTAAGTGAATATAAATAACATTGCAATAAGTGTGAATTTGATTCAGCACCAAAATATATTCTTGCACAATCTAATCATTCTGCTGAACATGGATGATGATAATAATGTGGTCAGCATTGACGAGGAGAATTTATTGGAATGGATCTGTTTTGAAAACAATGAATCGTGGTCATTTGTGACTGCTTCTACTAAATTCAATCAATGTTTTGAATACAATTATATATTCTATGTTTTTTAAGAAGCGGTTTGGGACATTTTGGGAGGAAGATGTATCCAAAAACAACGAGGCGTTTTTTAAGGAAAGTTTTATATAGCCATAGCATTGTATACTTTGGGTTCTTTTTCTGAGTACAGAACAGTCGGATGGCTGTCAGCCAACAGCGTGTGCAATACTGCATTAGTTGTGCAGAGCATTCATAAAAGAATTCCCAGAGGATAGTCCACAAACCGAGTTTTTGTGCCTGAGACAATTTTGACATATCAAATGTTTTGTTGTTGTTTTTTACCATTTTCCTGTCTGTCATTGCTAACATTTTCGTAGTGAATTCCGATTTTTTGTTGTGAATGTCAAATATTTATGGTTGCATTTGACAATTATCGAAAAAATACCGCACAGAAACGTGCATATTATAGCCTTTTCACACTGGGGACCATCCACCATCCACCATCCATTTCTGGGATGGTCCGTAAGGTTTTGCCGTTCCGAAAATTTCCCAGTTATTCCACCATCCATCTGGGATGTTCCTAATTCTCACGTTTCAGTGCGGTATTTTTTCGATAATTGTCAAATGCAACCATATTTCACAACAAAAAATCGGAGATCACTACGAAAATGTAAACAATGACAGACAGGAAAATATAAAAATAAAACCAAAATAACCCCATCAGATCTCACAAAGCACGCAAAAAATAAAAAATATCAAATATCAGCTGCAGGTGATTTTATTTCGATGTGACATCCATCTAACATAAAAATTAAGTAATGAAATTAATTTACATATATGTATATACATATATTATGGATGATTTTATTGCATTATTACCAATTGCACCAGGCACTGAGGAAACCCAATTTCTTCAAATGCTTGGACACACTCGTCAATTTTCTCTGAAGTGAGATAGTTTTTGGACATGTATTCCTCTGAGAATTCGTTGATGAAATGCTCTGCAAAACTCATGCAGGATATTGCAGACGCTGTTGGCTGACACTCCGAAAAACACTCTTCTCAGAAGAAGATCCCAAAGTATATAAAGATATGGCGATACGCTTCTCCAGAGGAATTGCAGCTCGGCAGTTTGTGTCCTTCTTCCGTAGCACTTCCAAGCGAGTAACCAACAGAGAAAAGCAGGATCTCTCCATCCTAAAACTTTCCTTAAAAAACGCCTCGTTGTTTTCGGGTACATCCTTCTCCCAAAATGTACCGAACCGCTTCTGAAAAACATAACATATATATTTGTACTTTAAACATTGGTTGCATTTATTAGAAGCACTCACAAATGACCACAACCTTCCGGGCTTCAGTGTTTTCAAAACAGATATCCATTCTATTATCTCCTCCTCGTCAAAGTTATCTTCATCATCATCGTCCATGTCCAACAACATGATTAGCTTGTGCAAGAATATGTTTTGCTGCTGAATCACATTCACGACCATTGAAATGTTATTTATATTCATTTTAATTAAAGTAAACAAATTTTCACCTCACGCAATTGTGAGCAACAGCTGTTTCTCATGGATGGTGGATGGTGGATGGTGTCAATGTGAATCGGTGTTTCACATCTTTCAAAAATTCCCACCGTTCCCCCAGGATGGACTCAGTGTGCAGAGAGTATTAGATATTTTTCTGGTGGAATAGGTTATACAAAATCTTGGACCTACCATCTCGGAATATTATTGAGTTTCGTGGAAACACTAGCGGTAGACATTATTTTGTTTCGTTCCATCGTTTCGAAATTGAAATGTAATTTAATAATTGAGATAGTTATTAAATGGTACATCTACCTCCTCTATTTCCGGCGGTAATGTTCTTTCCTTTTTGTATCGACGTCTTGAAAGAGGTATGTATCTTAAATTATCTCTGTCAATCGATGATTCATTTTTTAGTTTTATTTGATTATTAAAAATATATAGATTCATTGTTATCCGTTAGTAGATATTTCCGAGTTTTAATATATTTAATTTTGTATATATTATTAGGTTAAACATGGGTCGTCGACCAGCAAGATGGTATGTACTAATATTAAAATCTTTACAGATGTATAGAAATGTAAAGAAACGTTTTTTTAATCTAATTTCAAGCTACCGTTATTGTAAAAATAAGCCGTATCCCAAATCCCGGTTTTGCCGTGGTGTTCCTGACCCCAAAATTCGTATATTTGATTTGGGCAGGAAGAAAGCTACTGTTGAAGACTTTCCTCTCTGTGTTCATTTGGTATCTGATGAATACGAACAACTTAGTAGCGAAGCCTTGGAAGCTGGACGTATTTGTTGCAACAAATACTTAGTTAAATACTGCGGAAAGGATCAATTTCATATTCGAATGCGCCTACACCCATTCCACGTTATTCGTATCAACAAAATGTTGTCGTGTGCTGGAGCTGATAGGTAAGTAATGCTCTTGCAGGTTTGTTGACTGATATCTAAAAAAAAGAGCCTTAATGTTTTATGAAACTTAATTTGCATACTTATGTTTTAATACATTGCAATTAATATTATGTTGTTTTTTTTCTTCAGACTCCAAACTGGAATGAGAGGCGCTTTTGGTAAACCGCAGGGCACCGTTGCTCGTGTGCGTATTGGGCAACCGATTATGTCTGTTCGTTCAAGCGATCGTTACAAGGCCCAAGTTATTGAAGCATTGCGACGTGCCAAGTTTAAGTTCCCAGGTCGTCAGAAGGTATGTTATTTGATATAAGTAATGTTTCGTCAGTGTTTAGCTTTCCCAAATTTAGAACTATACATATTTAGAATGAGTGTGTTACAGAACATTGTACATATGTATGTATATTAAATATCGGTTTGTTCATGCACGTGTATGTTTATCAGAAAACACTCTTAGTTTTGAATGAATGGCATAAACCATTTTTCAACGCGCATATCTAAACTGTCATGATCGCATTACTGCATTGGAAAATAGCCGTCAAATAGAAAGTCCCAAAGCTGACTGTAAACGACGCAGCGGCTGCACGTGAAGCACATGAAGCTGCACGCTTTGCCTACACGCTACATCATATTTCAAGCAGCATTCAATTTTTAGTTGTGCAATCTTACTTGTGCTAACGTGAGCTAGATACGAAAAAACTATGACAGCGAAAATATCTAAATCACACGTACAAATGCTCCATGCAGAATATGAAAAGTATTTCTTAAGATAATCCAAGCGCTTAATTTATAATTTCTGAGTTCTTATTAAACTTGGTATTTCCTATTCAAATTTTCAACTCAAGACTCAACTTAGTTGGTTATAAAAACTGTAAACTTCACAGGATCGCATGGTGAGTTGTATTTCGGTACTCTCCAGTCAAATCTGCATGTTATTTTCTGACACTATATGTGGCTTTTTAGTAAATTAAAATATATTTGTGTCAATGACTTCTATAAAAATATTCTTATGCTTGAAATGTTACTTTTTTTATTTTTAGATATATGTTTCAAAGAAGTGGGGATTTACCAAGTACGACCGAGAGCGTTATGAAGAGCTCCGCGATGATAACCGCCTGGCGCCCGATGGTTGCAATGTCAAGTACCGACCCGAGCACGGTCCAATGGCTGCTTGGGAAAAAGCTCAGCGTGAAGTTTATGGTTAAACGTTAAAACGTATGAAACAATAAACGAAGAACAGACATTCTATCTGTCAAGATTATTGATAGTGTTTTATAAATCTTTACCACTAACGATCTGTCGAATACCAAGAGTTTGTTGGGGAAATTAATGTTCTATTCTGTAGCTACTATACAGATAACACTGCGACAAATGGAAAACTTTTGAATGTACTTTGCACGAGACAAAACTTAGGTTCTAGGCCGAGATGAAAACATCTTTTTAAAAAATTAAAAAACCGCGATTTTGGTGACTGCACAAAAAGTATTAGGTTGACAAATTGTACTATCTTTCCCAGGATTTTTGATTTGTGGTGATAGAATAGATATAACTGAAGATATTGCTATTCAAAGTTGATTATAACACTACTCGACAAAATCGAACTTTTTTTTTCCTCAAGGATCCAAACCGACTTTTTCTGATAGATATGGGGATTTAAAATTTTTTAAAGAATTATGGTTTTTTTTCTATGGCAGAACTTTTTTTTGAAGAATTTTTGAAGTCTGGTATTTTTTTTAAGCTTTTTTCAGAGGTAGCGATAGTTTTTTTCACATAACTTTAGTATCTTACGTCTGGTTGTAAAGAACTGCTATTTTGAAAAGATAATTAAAACAGCTAGAAGTTAAGCCCAAACACTTTGTGATTACAGCTTGCCGTCTGGGAAATATAAAGCATTGAAATGCAAAAATGATGATTTTTGTGCGGTATTTTTTACGAAATTTTGACTTTAAAAACTCAGGAAAAATTATATCTTGGGTCCTCTATTTTTTGTGTATAGGTGCGTTAATTTGGCGTCGTTTAAGGTATCGCTCATTGAAATCTATGGAGAGACTTTGGAGCTAAAATTCGTTAACCAAACCTAAAATATGGAAAAAATGCACAAAAATACCTTTTTGAAGGCGGCGGGCCCAACTGCCAATTGGGAACAAAGCAAACGAAAAAGGGTTGTACATTTGGTACCTGTTTGCGTTCCTTTGGTATTAAATGTTGTTGACAGTTACTTTTTTCGTGACCTGAGGTAGAATACCTATTCAGGTCAAATGTTTCCTTTATATTCTCACAAGTGCAGGTCCACAAAAATTGGATCTTTCTTTCGTTGTGCCCAATCTGAGGTATGGGTACCTGTTCAGGTCAAATGTTGACCTTTATTTTTACACAAATTAGACGTTTGTCGCTTCTACCTATTCATATTTCAATGAAACCAAAGTAGAAATAGCTGAGATATAGAATTTCATTCCCTAACCCATACAACAATCAGTATTTTTTAGACTTTTTAGTCAATTCTAAGGATATACAAACTTTTTATTTTTTACTGCTTGTTACTGTTCATAAAATAATTTAAGTTTTCTGGCTGTCTTCCTTTGTCACTCCAATCAGATTCCCTTATGAGAGTCCACACATAGTCGCCCATCATGTTTTCATTCCAAACACCTTGATAACGTTGTTCCATAGCCTTTAATTGTTGGTGAAATCTCTCTCCGTGTTCATCACTAACGTCCCCTAGGTTTGTCGGAAAAAAGTCCAAGTGGGAGTGTAGGAAATGGATTTTTAGTGACATGTTGGCTCCAATTTTTTCATAATTCTCAATTAGGTCTTGAACGATATTAACGTAATCATCACTCTTGCTGTTGCCAAGAAAATTTGCTACTACCGTTCGGAATGAGTTCCAAGCTGCTTTTTCATTCGTAGATAAAATATTTTCAAATCCATCATCTCTTAGTAGTTTTCGAATTTGGGGGCCATCAAATACTCCTTCTTTCACTTTTGCCAGCGACAGACGTGGAAAAACAGTTTTTAGGTAACTCGTCGATTCACCTTTTCATTAGTCCCAGCTTAATGTGTAATGGTGGTAAAATAACGTCTTCAAACTTCACGAGAGCTGCATTCTTTACATTGTAATTTTCCAAAGTATGTTCCTCCCGTTTTGGCCAGAGTTTTGTTGAATAATGCTGTTCTCTAGCTCTACTATCCCATAGGCACAGGAAGCAGCAGTGTTTTGTGTAACCACCTTGCAATCCCGTTAACATGGCTACAACCTTCAAGTCACACGCGACCTTCCACTGGTGTTCTTTATATTTTATGTTTACAAACAACTTAGCCATTGTTTGATATGTTTCCTTCATATTAACAGCATGGGCGATAAGAACAGACGGCTTTTGGTTTCCATTATGTAGCAAAACAGCCTTTAAACTTTCCTTACTGCTGTCAACAAATAACCTCCAATCTTTTGGGTCGTACGCTTCACCAAGTTGCTTGAAGAGTCCGAAAATGTCGTGGCAAACGCACATGTCATCCTTCGTCATATAAAATTGTGCGTGAACCAAATGACGCGTCCGGAAATGAGTTATTTTGACACCTTCCTTCAATAAACGGGCATCCTTTAAAAAAGATCCAAGCAGCTCGGATTTATTTTTAGGAAGATCCAGGATCCTCATTAAATCGTTCAATTGTTCCTGTGAAATAGGATTGCAAAATTTCCATTCTCCTGAATAGTTATTGCTTGAATCCGTTGTTCCATTCGACGAGGAAGATAACTCTCCTTTTTGGCGTTTTAGGGGCGGTATTTCCTCGGAAGGAGCAGGAAGGGTAAAGCCGAAGCCAGATTGTTTCGGGTAAACTATTTTCAAGTGTTTCCCAATTCCAGTTTTCTTTACTGAACAAAAGAAACATTCGGCGCCGTGAATATCTGTTTTTTTCCACATCATTGGACTACCAAAGTTAAATTGTTTTCTAAAAAAAATTGTAAGAAAAAAATAATGTTTAGAATTTTGGGAAAAGTTAATAGTTTTGTGGATTAGAGTTACTTACTTTTCGTCGTAATCATATGCTGTTAAATTCAATCTACACATTTGACATATACAGCTTGGTGCCCACTCTTCAACAAAACTTTCGGGTTTGATTTTAAAGTTTTCTTCATACTGTTTTTGGAGAGTTTCGGTAAAAGCGATTTTTATTTCGTTGATCATCATGTACTTACCACATATGTAGCAAAATGAGTCTGCTTGGCAAGCACATGCAAATGATCGGCCAGAGGTATCCATGGCAATTGATTTGAATTAATTGTTAGATGTTTTGGTAAACACACGATCGTATTCTGAGCGTTATATATCCATGACTATGATTAGGTAGACGCGACGAGATCCAATTTTTGTGGACCTGCACTTGTGAGAATATAAAGGAAACATTTGACCTGAATAGGTATTCTACCTCAGGTCACGAAAAAAGTAACTGTCAACAACATTTAATACCAAAGGAACGCGAACAGGTACCAAATGTACAACCCTTTTTCGTTTGCTTTGTTCCCAATTGGCAGTTGGGCCCGCCGCCTTCAAAAATGTATTTTTTGTGCATTTTTTCCATATTTTAGGTTTGGTTAACGAATTTTAGCTCCAAAGTCTCTCCATAGATTTTAATGAGCGATACCTTAAACGACGCCAAATTAACGTACCTATACACAAAACTTTTCCTGAGTTTTTAAAGTCAAAATTTCGTAAAAAATACCGCACAAAAATCATCATTTTTGCATTTCAATGCTTTATATTTCCCAGACGGTAAGCTGTAATCACAAAGTGTTTGGGCTTAACTTCTAGCTGTTTTAATTATCTTTTCAAAATAGCAAAGTTCTTTACAACCAGACGTAAGATACTAAAGTTATTTGAAAAAAACTATCGCTACCTCTGAAAAAAGCTTAAAAAAAAATACCAGATTAAAAAAATTCTTCAAAAAAAAGTTCTGCCATAGAAAAAAAAAAATATCATCAAACCATTTCTAAGCCCCAAATCTTTAATAAAAAGTTGGTTTTGTTCCTTGAGGAAAAATCGTGTTGACTAGTGTAATCGATCTTAAATTTAATAGTAACTTGCATAGTTTGTTGAACGCAATTTATAAAATAGCGATTATATTTCTCTGCAGCTCACATTAAACTATGGCAGAACCAAAGACAATATAATAACACTACTCCACAAAATCGAACTTTTTTTCCTCAAAGATCCAAACCTACTTTTTCCGATAGATATGGGACTTAAAATTTTTTTAAGGAATTATGGTTTTTTTCTATGGCTGAACTTCTTTTTGAAGAATATTTGAAGTCTGGTGTTTTTTTTAAAGCGTTTTTCAGAGGTAGCGCTTGATTTTTTCACATAACTCTAGTATCTTACCTCTGCACTATGGGAAATTTGACCCTTTTTTCTGGCCAAAACCCATTTTTCAAAAGTAGTTAAAATAATATATTTGTAGACCTCATATATCCGAATAATATTGATCTTTAATGTTCCGCAAAAAAAAGTTAACAGCACCACTGTTAAATTAACAGCTGTTAAAGTCAGATGCTTTCGATTCAGACAGGTATGTAATATATGTTTATGAGTTTGAACTGTAAAAATTTCACTCATAATTATGTTTAATGACTCATTTTTTAACAAGTATTAATTTGTGACAAAAATGTGTCTTTGAAGAGGCGTATAAAAAAAGTGACCACTCGTGGAACCATATGACTTAATGCATATTGTAGAAAATTCAATTGTTCAAATGTATATCATGGTTATCTGCGCGTGGGTGCGCATAGAAATGCAATCTTGATTCTTAGACAAAAAAAAATTAGGACTGCAGCAACGTTTGAAACGGTAAAATTTGATTTTTGGAGGGTTGGCCAACCAATTTTAGCTGAGTAATTTCTCTATCGATTTGTATGACAATATTTTGAACGACGCCTAATTGACGCATCTACACACAAAAAATATAAGAACAAAGTAAAAATTTGAAAAAAGTACTAACAAAACCGATCAATTTTGCATTTGAAAACTTAATATTTTCTAGACGGTAAGCCACCAGACGGTGCTCAGGTCTGCTTTATAGATGCATTTATCAGCTTTTCAGAATGTCAAAGTTCATTACAACCAAATGTAAGATAATTAAGTAATGTCACTAACCATACAGTATATGTTAGTGGTAATGTGCAAAATAAAAGAGCTACCTCTGAAAAAAGCATTTCAAAAAATACCAAAAAAGTTCGATTTTGTCAAGTAGTTATATTGACCGATATCC